CGGACCGAGTAAAAAAGGATGGTCGATACTCGATATGTCGCGTGTGTTTAGCTGGCTAGACTTTTCCTCGACATCCGTCGATAACGCGTGCGATAATTATTCCAGCACACTTCGTCACGGTTACGTCGCGTCGCCGACGTAAGAATGTTCATTGATTTCGAGCTGTCGGTGTGTTTTAATCATCTCTCTCTCTCTCTTTTTCTCGGGTGAAATGGGCGAAGAATTGCACACTCGTTATACAACGGTTATGCGAATTATTGTGTGCACTATCGATCGATATCATACTTGGCAACAGATAAGTAGTTGTTTATAGACCGATGTTAATCACGACGTATCTTAATTTGCACGATTTATACGATGCTGTTTACTCGGTCACGTGCGAGATTAAGAGCTGGCTCTCATCGCGTCCAATCATTGTTATTTAGCAACGTCCGATTTCCTCGTAGCATCTGTCTCTAATCTCCGTCATCTTCGTCCATTGTAATTGACTGTAGATGCGGGGGCGGAAATGACGTGAACGCTTCAAAAATTTAACATCACTGAAAGAGAGAAAGAGGGAAAGGGAGAGAGAGAGAGAGAGAGAGAGAGAGAGAGAGAGATCGTCGAAAACTTGGAAAACTTCGAAAGTTTCGAAAACTTCGAAAGCTTGGGAAGAGCGTTCGAGTTTTCCACAATCAATTCTAATGGCGTGGCCATTTTATTTTGTTACTTACTCCGTTACCACGGTTAAGCGTCGACTAATTTCCCTTCTTCCCCGATCGATGTCGTTATATTGAAATTACGATTTCCCACACTCGCCGGGCGAAATATCCGTTTTCCTTTTTCTCATTTTTGTTGCGCCGCTCCGCCGAGAGGCTTTTTCTCGCTTACGTAATCGACCCGTTCGAAAACGACTGCAACGACAAGTTTCGCGCGACGAGCCTTGAAAATTTCGATGCCGAAGGCCGGAACGCTTTCGAGATTGGAGCGCGATCAACTCGATAGGAGCAATGGTGATTCGATTACTGCGCCGATTAAATAATATGCCATTCGCCGGAATGCGTTCCGATGGCGCGACAATTTTTGCCACCCCTTCGCGTGACGAGGTTTCTTTTTTCGTCTTCCAATCCGCTCATAACATTTAGACACAGTTATCGTTGCGGCACGTCAATTGCCCGATGTTGTATTTGTTGTGGAAACGCAATTATACGCCCGCGCGATCATGCGTTTATTATTTCAGAACGAATTAGTGCCCGCGTCGGTAAAGTGCACTCGTCTGTTAACTCGAGCGCGCGTGACGCCGCATACCGCGATTTGGTTATTATATCGCGATAATGACATATTCCTAAATACACACTTGACGCGACGGGTCACATCATATAATCGATAATTGACATTCCGGACTCCTAGACACCCAAGTAATTCGGAGCTCTTCGTAACACCTAAACATAGATACACGGAAAAAAATGTTGTTGGATCAATAAAATTTTCAACAGCACGCGTAATTGGAGTAAACCTCCTTGATTCGGTAGCGATATCGTTAAAACGAATACTTTAAACAATACGTAACATGGTAGTGTTAATGACATCTGCCATTAATTAAGAAGATTTACTCCAATTACGCTGCTGTGGGAAATTCTATTGATTCAACTGCATTTTTTTCTCCGCGTACCGATGCAATGATCGAAGAACCATTCTGCTTGAAATCTTTTAGAGAATAGTCATTTAGTTGAAAGAAAAAAAAAAAAAGAAAGAAACAAAATTAATCACTGGTAGTTCGCACCGTCAAGTCCGGGCGACTCATTTTGCCGGCCACTTAGCGCAATGTCCGGATGATTCTCACGCGGGTTTTTTTCTTTTTCGCGATTCCGCTCATTCACCGGTCGGAGACAGGCGGCGCGTCGCGTCCGTGAAAGGTGTCGGTAGCGCAGCATCAGGATCCGTGTCGCGTCGCGCCGTTGCGCGCCGATGCGGCGAACGGAGGAGAGTCACGGACGCACAGGCAGCAGGAAGGTAGGACAGAGGAGGAGATAAAATGAGATAAAACGAGATTGAGAGGCCCAAGGTCGTGGTTGTCGGCCGTTTCCGCCGGCAGTCGGCGGCGTCTAAAATTGCGATGCCGTGGCTCCGCGCGGCCTTCGCGAACGCGCACGGCAGCTTCTCGCTCTCTCGCAGAAAAGTCAAGTTCAAGGCCGGCGAGACGCTTCGAGGCCTCTTCTCGCCTCTCTCTCTCTCTCTCTCTTTCTCCCCCCCCTCTCCCCCCCTCTTACAATCACACACATACACGACACACTCTCTCCCATCCGCTCCTCTCGAGCTCTCAATCAAACGTGGATCGAACGGAGGGAGGACACTTACGCAACCCTTTCCCTCCCTTAGCCATTCGCTGCAATATATTGTAATAGACATAAGGCCGGTCGCATCGACGTGTCCCGCGATGTGTCAAGTGTAAGCCCGCTTTAGCGATCAGCCGGCCCTTTTTAGATCCTTGGCTGAGGAGCAGCAGGGAGCAGGCACGAGGTTATCGGTTTTGCTCGTGTTTATATCACCGTAATCGCGAGGAAGCAGATTTGTAATTACGAGCGACGACGAGAAGAGTGAATCAGTCGCGATAAAACGCCGCGTGATTCTGTGATTTCGCACGCATGCTTCGACGTCACGTTGAATCCGTGCGATCTTCCGATTCCGATCGGTTTAATCGCGGTCCGGAGCGAGCGAAGTGGCCCCTCGCATTAACGAATCTCACCACCGGGATCGCGGTGAGATCGATGAAATCGCGGTCTGATCGAGGTCGTGCCCATTTAGTCGCCGTATCGAGCCCGTATCTCGTCGGAGTGAAACGCCCCTCCGTAACCCGACTTTTGTTGAGACATAATTCATCGCGGTTTCCGATCTCGCCGGTTCCGTTGTAAATTCAGCGCGATATGTGCCGATCGAGGTTTATGGTGCGCGCGAGCGAAAGCCCGGCGTCTTCGTGTCAGAAAAAAAAAAAAGTCAAGTTCAAGGTCGACTAGACGTTCCTCCACCTCCTTCCGTTCGCGCGACTCTCGCTTTCTGCGGGCACACGACACACGGATACTGAACGAGACCGAACAGACAGGGAAGGAGAAAGGGAGCTTACGCAATCTTTTCACCGTTACTTTGTTCGCCGACTCTCTATTCCAGGGCGCACCCAAGCCGCTTGTTAACGTAGTTTCGCCCAACGGCAGCCAAATTATCATCGAGGCGTTTGTTATGTTTTGTTATCCTTAAATGCAGCGCATCGAGAAAACCTCGCAAAAGCAGCGCTGCCATCCAATCACCTTGAGTCACTTTTTGCCATTTTTTCTCGACAAGTCAAAAAATTCACTATATCGTCCAAAATGGGTCACTATAGTCACTTTTCTTCCTTAGCTGCTGTTAAATTTGTAAAATATAGGCGTTTTATATATATATATATANTTTTAATAAATCTCCTCAGAAAACTTGGATCACTTCCGCCCTTGATCTTTCCTTATTATGAACTTTCAAACCGTACTATGAAAAGAGTTCGTTATGTGTTATCTAAAAAGATAAGCCTGAGAAGGTAAGACTAAATATTTTTTATTTAAATAGCCTTAAAGTTATTCTCACAATTCGACAAATAATGTTACTTTTGACCACTATTTTGATGTCCGAGAGATCACTTTTGTCACTTCTTCTGCCAGGAAGCAGTTACTATTTCACTTTTTTTGTTTCGGTGAGACTGGATGGCAGTGCTGCAAAAGAATTTTGCGTTCCAACACTCTCTATCGTCTTGTGGATATTTGAATTTTCTTTTAATTTTATTTACATTTTAATCAGAAATCGTGCGTCAAGACGGCTTTTTGCGATTATAGTTAACAAAAAAAAATGAAGGAAGGTCAAGTTTATTAAGGCTCAATGCTCAAGGTTCGCACGTGATATATTGATAGTGGCCGCGTGCCGAAGTATAACATATGCCCGACACACACCGAAGAAAGCGAGCCAATCCGAAAAAAGAACGGAAAGGACCAATTTGTACGCACGTTTTTTATTTTATTATTTATGTTACTTGCTACTGTGTGTGCGTCACAAGAGGTCGCTCTCGTGCGAGCGAAAAGTTTTCAAATAATCCGTTATCAGAGAACATCGGATGTGCCGTACGATTTTGGACCGTTTGCAGACAAGAGACACACAAAGGTTTCACTCAGGATTCGAGCATTTATTTTGGATTCAAGAGAGAGAAAAAGAGAGAGAGAGAGAGAGCGCGCCTGTAAGGACACACAAAAACTAACCGGACGATCGTTAGAGAGAGAGAGAGAGAGAGAGAGAGAGAGACACCGTGTTCAGCTGTACGAATAAAAGCGAACGAATTAATTTGCTTCTGTTGCAAGCTCAAGTGTTGTTATACATAGGCGCGCGCGCGCGCGCATACACACATCGCACACACAAACATCGATATCTGAAATAGTGTGGCTAGAATTACCATCGAGTCAGCGGTTACCCAGGTAATCGTATCTTGTGCTCGCAGCACGGTATCGTAATAAATATACGCCAGGCGTTCTCAGTTTTCATATTTTCCAATGGACCGGGCTTCCTCCCGTCGTGTACGCGGCACGCAGATAGATCGGCGGCCCATGGAGGAAAAAAGGCCGCGATCTTCGCCGGGAGGCATTGGCTGGCGCGCTACCGCGAATTCTCCGAAGTCAATTCTAAAAATGCTCAAGGCGTTGGCCGTACTTAAATATAGCGGCCGCAAAAAAGATGCAACCGACGACGACGTTGCAGAGAAGATCATCGCGGCGGGCGTGATGGACTTCTCTTATTATATTTTCGTGACGATGCCCACGGCACAACCTGTCCCGTCGTCGCATCACGAATAATCGACACTCTCGCGGCGTTCCTCCTTCTTCCCCCCCCCCCCCCNTCTCTGTCTCGCGATAATCAAAGTGAAATTCGCGATCTCCGCGGTTACGAGATACGTCCTCGCCGACACTACAGGAATAGAGACTACGTTATCGCTCTCTCGTATCTTTCGACAGGTCTGTATGATGTCTGGCGCTACCACGGAAAGTATGATCGGGAATAACAGGACGACGATGCCGAACATCAAGCAGGAGATCGACAATCCGACGACACCTACGCAAAATTATCAAGTATGCTCGCCTACCACGACCCTTCAGCATCAGGAGGTATTAAAGTTGTTGAGAGAACTCGATTGATCGATCGATCGATCGGTCGTCGATCGATTCCTCATGACGGGACGTACAGAGTCGTGCATCGTGTCGTTACCGCATCAATCCTCGAAACTCATTAACCGACGACGATCTTGGAAACGAAAGCTTTATCGCGCACAAAACGATCGCCGCAATGAATGAAATTTTTGCTTGAACCTCGTGCTTTCTAATCGTCGCGTGTCACAGCGTTTTGCGGAAAAATGATTCTGTATTTTTTTTTCTTTTTGTTCCAAAAAAATGTTAATATGATTAACGAAATAAACGAGTGCTACGAAGCGTAATTTTTTTCTTAGATGATTTCATATACGTGTTTTTTTTTATATATCGAACCAATGGAAGTATATATTTAATGATTGATAATATCGATCTGATATTTTCGTGTTTTGACTTTGCACTATGGCTTTCAATAGATTAATGGCGAGTACTTTGGAGTGTAGTTGATTTTTCCTCGAACTGATAGGATTTTTGATAATCTCTCTTACTATATACTAATTGAGGAGAAACCGATTCCCAATTGGGAACATTAGATTGCCATTAAATGACGGTAGCGGCGAGGTACTTTGTATTTCCACGCATATGCAGAATACCACAGTTTATAAGTACAAACTTGGAAATTACGGGATTGAGAATTCGAAAGCAAATGAAGGAGGGACGTTCCTTTGAACATCCATTGCTTTTTCCCACTACATCGAGTCGATGACATTTGCGCCTTATAATTTTGTACACTCAGATATTCTGTGTATATATATATATATATATATATATATATGTGTGTGTGTGTTAATCATTAACCCGTTGCGGTCCGCGCTGTATTCGCAATTTCGTCCCAGCCGGTCCGCACAGATTTCGCCAATCGCTCATCCGCTTGGTATCGTTTACTTTGGAAAACATTTATGAGCTTTCAAGAAGCATGGCCTATTCGGGATATGCTACACCGTAGCTCTTATCTTTTCTCTTTTAGCGTACGATGAAGACTCTGTCAATATAGGACTTGCTGGAACGAAACGCTGTGTCGAGTGACGCTCGACATAAGACCGCAACGAGTTAATGGTTGTCTATGGCAGCCATTAATCATTCCACTATCCTTACCATCCATTATAATCTATTGAACATTTATTATTAGTCGTATTACTGGGTCGGTCAATTGATCATTTGGATCGTACATCTTTGCAGTCTATGTGCACGAAATTGGACATTCCACCGGACTATGGCGACAGCGGTGGTAGTCCCGAGAGTCCAGAGATGCACCATTGTTCTTCCACGACGCAGCCTTTGGGAGCTCCGGATGTGCGTAACCGCGAATTCTCATATAAATCCCACCGGCCGCTACACGTGCGATTAATTCGAATATCGTTGCGTCATTTGCGCAGGATGGTGTCAAGGAAGAAGATATGATGCCCAGAAGACTGTGCCTGGTCTGCGGGGATGTCGCGAGCGGTTTCCACTACGGTGTCGCCTCCTGCGAAGCGTGCAAGGCCTTCTTCAAAAGGACTATACAAGGTAAGAGAGGCTTATCGATCTTCGAGCTACAAGCCGCAATAATTCGTCCAGATAGCACCAAGGACTAGTTTACTAGCGCGTTGCACTATCGATTGTACGAAATTCCATATGTTAAGCCGATGTGTGAGTTTCTCTGTCCGTGTCGAGATTCGTTGGTATAAACAGGACAGCGAACTGCCATCTCATCACTTCTGAGAAGCACAATACAAATATTATATCTGTGCGGTGTAAGGAACACCACACAAGGATGCGCCTTTGATTTATCAATGATTAGGTATGCGGAAGAGATTGTGTGAGGCCATTTAAAACGTCAGGCCTTTTTCTTACGTAACGTCGTGTTTCGCGGAGAAAAATTGAATTAACAAATCGCTCACGGCGAACAATCCTCCGATGAATGAGAAAGAGAGAGAGAGAGAGAGAGAGAGTCTGGGACATCCTAGAATGCCTAACAACCGGTTGGTGCTATCTGGGACAGGACCGCGTATATTACGATAAAATAGCCAGTAATTTTACAGGAAACATCGAGTACACGTGTCCCGCGAATGGCGAGTGTGAGATAAACAAACGTAGGCGGAAGGCATGCCAGGCGTGTAGATTTCAAAAATGCTTGCGACAAGGCATGCTGAAGGAAGGCGTGAGATTAGATCGCGTTAGGGGCGGCCGACAGAAGTACAGAAGATCCACGGATCCTTACACGCCTGTCAAGAACGCCACGTTAGAAGGTAATTGTCTTTCATGCGGCTCTACGTCGTCGTATTTCACGTTGATTCCTCGGTGGAAAATAAAAGAGGCAACTACAGTCCTTGGCCATATTATTAGACGCACCTTGATTTTTTAATAGAATACAAGTTTAGAGGAGAAGGAAAGCTACTAATTTTATTTTTACTCGATTAGAGTGATTTTCCGTACCAATCAGCGCTTTTACCTTTCGCAATCGAAGTGTCAAATCACTTGTTTTAATAAGTAATTTTTATAAACAATATTATATATTTTTCACACAAAAATGATTTTTCGCGACTGTTAGTAAACAAGGAAGATGTAATTTGAGGCTCAAAGTCACAAATAAACGAAAATAAAACTAAATTTCAATAACACGCTCAAAACACGTCTGCTCTCGTTGTTATCAACAGTGCAACTGGCGCAGGTTCATATTTGTTCAAGGTCGTTGTAAATGATCAAATGAAATGACCTCGTTAAAAATGCCTTCCTTTTATAGAATAATAATTCCTTAACATTATTCGATCGATAGATGAGCCGTCTTATAAAGCTACCGGCCGGAAGTCAATGAATTGTAAAAAATTAAAGTACGTCTAATAATATGACTGAGGGAGCGGGTTATAGTCGAAAGATTCGATTTTCTATCCTTTTCGACAGTAAGTCGGCTATCTTCTACGACATAGATTGTGAATGTTGTCATAGACAAAGCGTCATAGACAAAGATATTTACATCAATACATAATAAAAGGATTTACACCATTCTTTCCATTTCTCTCGAGAGACGCCGTTAACTTTGAATTGTTCTCAATGTTTCAAGCTAACGTAGCGCCGGCAGTCCCTACTGAAACGATAAGTAAGATATCGGATTCTTATCATGTATTTCTACTCTGATATTATAGTTCCTCATTTTATATTGATTTCGGTTGCAATCCTCAGTCCTTTTTTTATGTCACAACTCATCGTTTCTTTCATTCTTATGAGATTGTCCGCACTCTTTATGTTTGCTAATGACTGATAGATAGACATTTTAGCGCATCGCTCTGAGGCAATCTAAGCAAAGAGACACTCGTCTCGTGTGTTACAGATAACAAAATGGTCGAGGCATTGACTGCCTGCGAACCGGATATGCTTCAAGTGTCCAATATCTCGCATACGTTGGAAACGGACCAGAGAGTTCTCGGCCAATTGTCGGATCTCTACGATCGAGAATTGGTCGGAATAATCGGTAAGAACACCATCTAGACTGTATTGCATATCGGTGACTCCCGAAGTTCTTCGCTCGACCAGCACCTTATTTGGTTGTTTTCGCGCAGGTTGGGCCAAGCAGATTCCGGGATTTAGCAGCTTAGCGTTGAACGATCAGATACGGCTTCTGCAGAGCACATGGGCCGAAATACTGACCTTCACTCTAGCATGGAGAAGTACGCCGAACAACGGCAGATTGAGGTTTGCGCAAGACTTCACGTTGGACGAGAGACTCGCGCACGAGTGCCATTGTATGGATTTGTACACGCACGTAAGTGATTTACAACCGCTCTATACGCAACCGTCTCTATTCATACTAATTATCGGCAATTTATTGCTCACTTTCACTCTCTTAGATCCACTTTTTGGAAATATGTTTTCACATACTTGACGATTTAAATGTAAGCTCCTCGAGTGTACCACATAATGCGAGGATCATTGTAAATCGCCGTAGATCGTCGTGGATCGCAGTCATCTTTCGTCTCTTTGGCGATCGCCTACTGTACGCTTTTCTCATCCGTATCGCGTCTTTTTCTCTCTTTTTTTTTTTTTTTAAACAGTGTATACAAATCGTGGAAAGGATCCAGCGGTTGTGCTTGACGCGGGAGGAGTACTACGTGCTGAAGGCGCTGATCCTGGCGAACAGCGACGCCAGATCCGACGAGCCGCAAGCGCTCTACCGTTTCCGCGATTCGATCTTGAATTCCTTGTCGGACTGTGTAGCGGCGGTGAGGCCCGGTCAAGCTCTTCGCGCCACGCAGAACATGTTCCTAGTACTACCCAGTCTCAGGCAAGCGGACGGCATCGTCAGGCGATTTTGGTCTAGTGTATACAGAACGGGCAAAGTACCGATGAACAAGCTCTTCGTGGAGATGTTGGAGGCGGTTTGCTACTGATGAGACCACGTGTCACGCTCCGTCGTCATCGTAAGAAAACTGGGTAGCCTAGTTTGTTACCCTGCCGACGCAAAATCGACTGTCAAAGTCTCAAAGTCAAATCTACGTTGTCGTCACCGGGCGGAGAGGAAGTGTGTTTCAGCTTAACGTCACAGCCAATTGAAGATACCAGTGTGAGTGATAGTGCGAAAGGGGGAGAGATATGAATTTATCAGTTTCTTCTGCGATTTCCTTTTACTTTCTACCGGACTATTCGCGAATCATTGTTCTTTCTTTGCGTGCGTAAAAGGGTGAGCGTTGAGAGGAGGAGGAGCAGCGATAGGAACAGGAGGCTTATTGACCGGTGTTGCTACACGACGATTTCACGAATGCTATTATTATATTGTGAATCGCTCGCGGATCGATCGCGCTAGGACGATTATGGGGCATCCGTAGTCTTTGTTCGAAGTATCCAAAACTTTCCTTTTCGAGTACCCCATTTACAGGTACAGGAAGAAAGAAAGGCGATCTTTGCGTAAAGGGATGGTACAAGATACATACGTGAGAAGATTACTTCGGGGTTCAGGATGGCGTGCGGAAGCCAGTGATATGGGCGAATCGAATTGAATTTTACTAGGCGTAATTACGTTCCCGTTTGATCGTCACGATCGCAACACCGTGCCGGTGATTGTACAGATCAAGATAACGTGTAGTAACTGTGGGTGTTTAACGATGTACTAACGATAATAATGCTGGTTATTAAGAACACAATCAAAATTACTGTTACTGCGAGCGGCATTCCCCTCGATTGTCGCTCTCCGAGTTCTCATGGTTGTTGCGTCCCCCCCCCCCCCCNTCTCTTCTCTTTCATTCAGTATATTCTAACGGGAGGAACTTTAATTCAATCGTGTACCTTCAGCGTGATGTATATTGCCTCGTTTGCATTAGCACATGTAATTATAATAGCTTAAATGTGAGAAAATCAAGTAAGAAACGTTAATCGATACATATATTTGTGATAGCTACATGTGTGTGTGTGTGTGTGTATGTATATATGTACACATACATACATACAGACATACACATACATACATATATATATGTATGTATGCATATGTATGCATATGTATATTGAACATCCATAGTTATATATAGCGGTGTAGAAAATACGTCTTTGTACAATATCTTTAGAATACAACTTTGTACAATAAATGAGATCGAGTTTGATGCGTGCGAAAATTAGTAATGGGACATGGATATAGCGATGGAGAATCGGAGCGGAACGTTCCAACCAGGGAAACGTCAACTTCCGCGGGAAGTTGAATCATCTCGTGTTTCGAGGATAGAGGATCTTGTCCAGGTTAACGCTGTTTCGTTGACAGTAGAAATGTTTAACCGGTTGTTAAAGTAATCGTGATACGTTGTTTGACCGTGCCACACGAGAGAAAGAGCAGGAGAATATATTGCTATATATATTATTATTAAAAATAATTAATATTATTTTTACGATCCTCCTTATTATTGCTACACTACGCGCGCGTTTATTATTATTAATATTATTACTGCTATTATTATTATTAATATTATTGTATGTATTATTCAGGGATCTTCATTGTCTAGTTATCATTAATTATTATAATATTGTTACGGAAGATCAGCGAGTTACGCGCATAATATCACTTTCGCGTTGACACGCGACCATAACGCTACGGAAAGCCTTTACTCACGACCGAGAACTTATAAAGAGAGAACGATATATATGTATATACAGATATATATATACACACACATACACATAGAGAAGATGAAGAATTTTATGCAGCTTCGTTCGACGACTGTTGTCGCGAGCCCCACGACGGTTTTTATCGATTTCCAGATGCTGCCTGTTATCGCTTGCGTATACACTGACCGTTGCGAGGGGAATTTGACTCGGCTGTTTAGAAAGCTACGATCGACGTTGAGTTACAGAAGATCGAGTTCTGACTTTTCGGTGTAACCGAACTGGTAAAAGCCGTACTGGGTCTCGTACTTACATGAGTGAGACTATCGTCATGGGTACTGAAATGCAATAAAGTCAGGACACGCAGATTATTTTCTCTCTTAACAGCAAGGTTAGCGTCGTCTCTTTGCTTTTTCCTCGTTTCTCACAGGATTGTCCTATCTTCTGTTCATAATCTGTAAAATTCACGCGGATAACTTCTTCTTTTTTTCTCTCCGATTCTTTCGATTCTTTCTGCATTTAAATTCGTAGATAATCTCGCACTCCCTCGACAAATTCTGTCTCACAGTCGCGTCTGCTTCTCTCGCGGGGTCATATACTGCCTTTTCGTGAGCATTTTTGAAAAAGTGAAAAGGGAAAAAAAAAACAAGAGAAAACTTCATAGATTTCGGAAGTATATCGTGAGATTGCCGATAGTAGCGTCCACGACGATGAATGAACTGTACTTTGTAAAGTCTGCGCGCGAGGCCCGCCGACTGTGTCGGTTGTGCGTCTCTCGGTTTCTTATTAAGATCCTGATCCTTTGAAAACCGAGTTTTCTCTCGATGATGTTCTCCGATGTAACGGGATACCCCGACATTTCTCCTTTGTTTCTCGTCTTCGTTGAAGCCGATGGGCTTCCCCATTTAACTGTGATATTCGCGTTATTCGGCGCATCCACGACCGCCGGAAATGAGTCCGCAACGCGTCTTTACCTCGCGCGCCTTTTGTCACTGATGAAATCCGTGCGTTTCGGAAGTGATCGGCGGTCCATCGACGACGTCCATCCGTCAGCAGTCCAGATATACTTTCGCGCGAGCTTTTTCGAAATTCTCGCCCGAACTCCTCTCACTCAGGAAATGAATATCGGAATATCGTCGCGAGATGTTCCCCTTCGAATGCGATACTTCGCCGCCGATTTTGTCCGGGAACTGCCTCTCCCCCTCCCCTTTTTTCTTTTCTTCGTAGAAAATTCCGTGCTATTCCCCTGCTATGACTCTTGACTTTTCTTTTCTCTCTCGACGAGAAGTTTTTGCGATCGATCACCGACGATTTTATTATGCAACTCCCGCTGTTTGATATCTTTATAATTACCTCCCCGCCNATGCTAAGGTATTAGAGCAAGTATTTTCGCGCGCGCGTCGCTTCACTGAAGAGGAACGAAAGGAAGAGAGAAGATGATGAAGATGAAGGAAGAGAAGGAAAGAGCGCGAGGTGTTTTTTTACGCAACTGACTTTTATGTGTACCGCCGGTTTAACGAAGTTTCATACCTTTTCGAGCATTTTCTTTGTACATATAATCACCACGATTCGCCGTGGCGGTAGAATCGTAGTCTCAGGGTTGCAAACAAGCAAACACGATACAAACGCTAGACACAATACAAAATAGTTAAGCGTGCGAGTATATTTGTGAAGATCGAACATTAATGATAGTAGCGAGATAGAGATTTAGATTTTAAACGAGAGGGAGAAAGAGAGGAGAGGGAAAGGAGGAGGAGGTGGAATAGTACGCATTATTAATGCAAAAGGATGCCGCTATGTTGTGCAAACACGAAGCTCACAGATTTCTTAGACACTACGGCGACCATTCAGCAGCGCGAAAACGGGAAAGGAACGGAAACGTGCTTGGCGAGATGAAATTACCGATTGAAGCATAATAGTTACGTTAACTATACTCTAGTGGGAATTCGTGTTATAGTCTGTTACTTTTGGCAGAGGAGGCGTACTCTTAAAATTCGTCGAATTCCGCGAAGCTCGCGTCTCTTCGCGCATTGACTTCCAACATGTGGTTCCGGCTTGATTTTTTCTTTTTCTAGAACTCCCGATCAAGATGGAAATTCGTTGTATCTCTTGTTGAGATCTTGCGTTCGGACGATAGCGAGAGAGCCGCGTGTGTGATCTTATTATTTCGTGAGAAAGGGAACGAAAATGTGCAAAAATTCGCCCGAAACACGTGGCGGAGTTTCCTTCGTGAACGATTGAACATTTGTTTCTGATCGATGTGACAATTTTCTTTTTATTACAGCGTTGAAACTAAGAGGATACGGATTGATACGAATTATTTAACGCTAATAAACGAATGATTACGTTTCTTCGCGACGGCAGATTTTTATTCTCGCTAATTGCCATTTTCATCGTGTTCACGAGAGAACGCACTTACATCGAAAAGAATGATTATAAAATAGTTTACGCGAGATGGCGGAGAGATAAGTGAGTTTCGGTTTTGCGATCTTATCTCAGTCACCAGGGAAACGCGCTCTTGTGCGATCGCGTCCCGCTGAATTGTTTTCATCATTGTAACGCGAGCCAGCCCGAATGTCACCGAGTCGTCTCCGTTTTAGTTTCGTGTCTCATGAGTCGTCGGTTTTGTCTGGGAGTCCGTCGATATAACAAGTCGCGCGCCTTTGAATGAGGAATAAGGGATGCTGCTTCTCTACGCCGCCGATTATAAATATGTACGTAGCTACTTTGTAATTATAACACGGTAGATTCTATACATAAATTTTTATATGTACGCGTAATGAAAGAGAGCGGTGTGTAGTTCAGTGCACGCCCATCTACGAAAGTGATGCCGAAGAGACAAAGAGAAAGAGAATAGCCAGCGTCGGTGTCGTTGATGCATCGGCGGCATCGACGCCGACAATCGGAATCGGCGCATCGTGGAGCATCGTGATGCGCGTGATTACAATAATTCGTATGAGAGAAAGAAAAGTGAACGAGCGAGTGGATGGGTGAGTGAGAAAGGGAGAGAAAGAGAAAACGGTGAGCGTGCGTGCGTGCGTGCGTGCGAGCGAGCGTGTGTGTGCGTGTTAATTAATATGACGATACCTACAACGAGATGCAGAAAATAAAACAACAAAAGATACGCTGTATGGAACTACCTCGGTAATAGCGTCTTCGTTTATTGATCCTTTTTAATTGTCCGAATGTAGAACTCGCGATCAAACGTGTGGAAACTTAAGGGAATGGTTATTCTTTCTTTTCTTTTATTTTGATCCTCGAGAAAGAGAAGCGACGCGCGCGCGAAAATACCAGTGACATTTGGCGTGAAACTTTCGTGAAGAAAATAAGACAGTGTTATTAGAAATGTCACGAGATTAGTACGAGGTTCGTAGATATACAGATCTTCTCACAAATTAAGATTCCGGAATAATTGCTGTGATTGTCCTTGTTTAGTAAAACGTTGGAAGCGAGGAAACGCATGTCAAGATTTTTTGCGTTATACTTTCAAATGAAAAGATATATCCAAAAACATGACATTTCTGATCGATTCAGCATACTTGTAAAATTGGACGAATACTTTTCTTTTGCTCGAACAATCAATGTCGTAAAATTAATTTGACACGGAACCTTCTTTTCTAATCCCTTTTCTCATGATTTTGTCAATGTTAATTTTATTATTCTTGTTCGAGTAAAAGAAAAGTATTCGTCCAATTTTACAAATTTGCTGAATCGCAAATGTCATTTTGTAGAATACACCTTTTTATTTGAAATATTTGATTAAATTTTGTAACGCAAAAAATCTTGGCGTGCGTTTCTCGCTTCTGACGTCATTAAATAAGGACGGTCACAGCGACTACTTCGGAGTTTTAAGTCCCGAAATGTGACAGACGCGACAAGACTTCATGTTCTTCATTTAACATCGAGTGTCATTTATCTTGTCGTGAATTTAATTTTAATTCTAGTTACGATTGCTAAGATATTAGAGAACTCGAAGTGACGCAATAAACGGGAATTTAATAACGAATGAAATTCTCGTCCCAGATTCGCACAAGAAATACAGGTCTTCAACGTCTCGTGTGTCGCTCGCAACGGGCGTAACTGCGTCAAGTTTGACAGTTTCGTTTTATCGTGAGTGAAAGAATTCTTTTTTTTTTTTTCAGAATCATTTCTGAGCATTTCTGAGTCGACTCGTTTTTTTTTTCTCCGCGGTGATGTCGAAAATACTCGGACGCATTCCGACGAGCGTTATTATGTCGCGTTGCAACCTTGCACGGCATCAAGTGCGGCTCTCCCTTTACAAGAAGTGAGAATTACCTTACATTTCACGTGCGACGTGACTAACAATTTGCCAACATACCGCGTTTGAAAAAGTGCCGATTCCAACGAAATGGAATACACACGGATTGCCGCTCGGTTGTGCGACGTCAGTTCACGCGGGAACCATGTCGCGAGAAGTGCCGTTCTACACGCCGTTCTGTGTTTTTCTGCTTTCCTGCGCGACTATCGTTCTGAGTAGTAAGTGCTGCAGAGGTCGCATTTTATACTCGTCTTCGTAAAGAGAAAGATCTTTTTGTATTATCCGTTCTCGCAACTCGCGAATTAAGGCTTTTTACTATTCGCTGCGACTGCCTTTGTTTAATGACATCAGAGGCAAAAACGCGTGCCGAGAATTTGTTTGCGTTATACGTTTAAATAAAAAATATATCCACGCGGGAAGAAAAGTTTGGTTCAATTTACTAAACAGTGAACAAATCAAACGCGTTTTGGTTGAAGGAAACAGAATTTCTAGTTGCAAGAACCAAATTTAGATTATAAGAATCAGATATTCTGTTTTCTTTAATTAAAACGCGTTTGGTCTGTTCTGATAAATTCGACCAAACTTTTTTTCAGTGTACAAAATGACATTTGTAACCGATTCAGCACACTTGTAAAGTTGGACGGATACTTTTCTTTTACTCGAACAATCAATAAATAGCCGCAAAATTAACTTGATATGGAACTTGCCTTTTCTCATGATTTTATTAATGTTAATTTTACGACTACTTACTGATTGTTCGAGTAAAAGATAAGTGTTTGTCCAGTTTTATAAGTTTTGCAAGTTTGATTACAATAAATTATACGGTGATGTAACGGAGTACAAATTTAACGAGAGTATTTCTGTTTAAAATTCTAACTGTCGAGTTCTTGTAGCGTGAAGTATAATAATTCTGATAACAATGATTTGATGATATTATTACACGGCAGCGATACGAAAATACTGATATATGAAATGCATCAAAGTAATCAATCGCTTATGTTTTCAATTAATTTTTCAACATGTAATCTCCAATTCTGGAGAACACAGAACACGAAACACTTTGAAGAAAGGGGTCCTTCGATGCGTTCTTTTGCAGTAAAATGCGTGGATAGTTTACCAAATCGCTGTTTACAAATGATCGAACTCGATATCGATGAGATCGAGGATCATTTGTCCAAAGTGAATCTTATGGATGTACCTACTGTAAAAATGATGGCTGCTGGATTCAAATGTCCGATTTCCGCTCTGCCCTTCGGCGCGTTGAAGTCGGACTGGTCCAGACTTCTGTTGCTTCAGGAAGCCCAACCGAATGGCTCGATCATCAAACATAAACTCATTCGACTAATGCGAATTTTGATAATCGCTTATTACCAGATGGAGGAATCCTTCGACGTGATCAAGTCCGACGCGCAGATTTTACAGTAAGTAAGAAGATAAGGTAGTTTTGAGTGTTTCTTCCTTTTTTTTAATAAAAGGGAATATAAATCTAATTCGTGAGAATTTGTGAAAAATTAAGGAAGAACGAAATTTTTCGACTTAATTTTTATTTATATCACGCGAAATCGGACAAGTCGACGTTACCAGCGTTATTATTCAGTCACTTTTCGTCACTTTTTCTTGACAAGTCACTAAAAAATTTATTATTGCCCAAAATGGATGGCTTTTTCCTGAACTGCCGTTAAGTTTGTAAAATATAGGTGTTCTAAATACAGGGTGTTAAAAAATTAGACCGACAAACTTTGAAGGAAAATAGAGGACTTCAAAATAAACATTTCCTGCTAATTATTTTTCTCTACGTTTTAACACTACATATAAATAAATTATATAGAAAAATAAATTTTCTCGATTAAGGCTCGGCTATCTCGTCGCAGCCATATCGGTTTGTGATGTCGTAAGTGAGAAATGACACGTAATAAGTTTTTCGCGTTATATAACTTTATTTTTTAGTTTCCCTTAAAAAACATAATAGTTTCGTAATCCTGAAACTTGTGAAATATGCGGTAAATGGAGATGTCTGCCCGATATGTCACGTAGAATCGCAAAATAATTTCTGAAATAATGGGTCATGTTTCAGTCACCTCAGCTGTCACGGCCGCCTGAGCGTAGTCTCCCCGATCACCGGATTTATCTTTGCTAGGCTTTTTCTTGCAGGGGCATATGAAAACTCTTATTTATGAGACATCCATTGAAACAGAAACAGGATTGTTAGCTCGGATGCTGTGCGGTAGATCAGATTTAAAATATCTTTGCAGTCTTCGAGCATGCGAGACAATCAATGTTTCAACGATATCAGCTATGTATTGAAATTAATAGAGGAATTTTTTAGCATTTACTGTAAAAAGAGTTAATCACTTTTATGTATTTGTTCCGTTTTTTGTTCAAGAGTAAAATATAATTTTGTTTTTCCACTTATATATATGTTTGTTTATTGTTAAAATCACGAAACTCCTATTTTATACCATATAGTATTAAAGAAAAATAGTATTAACAAAAATAATATTAACAAAACAATATTAACAAAATATGTTTATTTTAAAGTTTTCTATTTCTCTTTAAAGTTTGTCGGTCTAATTTTGTAACATTTTGTATACAAAGTGCGGCATTTAAATTGAGACGCTTAAATATATAAAAAATAAAGCAAAATAGAAATGTTGTAGACAAAAGTTGTAAAAGAAGAGGGATATATTTTGATGACTTAACTTCGTTATACAGTCAATAATTCAAAATCATTTCAAGGTTAATTTAATTTTTTTAGATGAAATCAGAATGAAATCATATAGCTTTATTTTACACAAATCAATTTTTTGTTCATTCTGCATATAAAAATAGTAGAGTGAAATCATCGAAAAGAGGATATTTTTCGAGATATTTTACTTTTTATTCTGATATTTTTTCAGTATAAGATATGAAATATTTCGTAAAATATTTATTTTTAGATACCATCACTTGAACGTTTTTGTACATAGAATGACAGGTAGAATCGATTTCTGCAAATATAAAAAAAACTTTAAAAAAGAATTCATTGCAAATTCATTTTGCAAATGAATCGATGCAATGTGCAATGATAAATATTAATAATCGATTTCTTTCATATTATTATGTAGATAAGTATTCATGGCCTTAGTTACTCTCAGAATTTAACAAAAAATGCCACTTTTATTGCTTACTATTTTGATGTCCGAAAGATCACTTTTTGTCATCTTTTCTGCCAAGAAGCAGTCACTATTTCACTTTTTTTCTTCCGGTGATTGAATGGCATCGCTATGTTACTGGAAACGTTGCAGCATGTAAAAAGTTATTTACCTCTAGATACAATTCCCTGTTGTCGCCGATAATTACTTATCTGCGACAGGTTGAGATAACATACGTTGCTTAAACACCTGCGACAGGCAGGCAAGTCTCGCGAAAACTCAGTAAGTGTGCGAATAGCGGGAGATTCTTTGATGAGCTTTAACAATTCAGTAGCAGCTTATTTACCGACGGTAAGTGCAGCCGGAGACACGTTCCCTTGTAATCAAACTCGCTCGAACTTAGTCCGGTACACGTTTCTCGCGTCTATTTAAGTTGGGATTTAAGCTGCGAGGGAAGCGAGGGAAGTCGTCTCGGATGATGAATTTATCGAATCGCTACTTTCGCGACCGGTCCGCACCTACGCGAGTTTTACGAATGTCGTGACGTGCACCGTCTCTGTCGCATAATATCTCGTCGCTTTATACGACGTCAATTTACCGTTAGTTTGTACGTAAAGAAGTCGCCGATGGTCTCTGGACCGGTTTGCTCGAACGAAATTTTCACTCGGGCGTCGGAGAAAGAGAGCAGCGTATCAGCGCATTTACAATTGTTACCTTCGCGATGCAACCGGAAGAAAATGACACCGCACGAATGAGAGTTTCAAATATATTTTTCGCACGAAGCCCCGCTTTCGAGGAGGTCGAATTCGGAGATTGCGAAGTTGACGTAATATCCTTTCTCTCAATTTGAAATCTTCACAAAGGTTGTCGTTACAGTAAAGCTACAAGGTAAGACAGCAAACTGTACATCAACTAACCGAACATATTAATTTTAGGCAATCTCCGGGGAAAGAAACGACGACGATCGCGAGCAAATCGCATGGTTCGAGTGCCGATCAGTCCTGGCCGGCTGAAGCTTCGAGTAATGATTACCGTCACTCATATACGTGGCCGACAACATACGTTAACAAGGACGATTATTCAACGAGAAATTTGAGCTCGACCGCAAAGGTCGATGTCGCGACGGCAAGGCTCCCTTCGAGCTTGAAAGAGGCCGCTGCAACGACGAAAATAAGTTTCGTTCCGGTCGACGTCAGAATTTCAAACGCCACGTCGTCGATCGATCTTAGCGCGGTGAGCACGCTGTATCATCCCGCCGAAACCGGCGCGGAGAACGCCGCTTCCAGGGCGCTCGGTAATTGCCTGAAGCAGACCCTGAAGGACCTCCTGTCGCGGAACCGTCCGAATCGAACGAGGTACGGCAACGTCGTCGTGTTCGAGGGTTCGAAGAGCAAAAAGCACGGCGAGCGCGTCCACCACCGACGACGTAATGAAATCAACGGCCGCGCGAAAAACGCCGACATTCCGGCGAAGATATCACCGCCGGCGAATGACTTTTGGAGATACGCGCACTTTCCTGCGGGGCTGCCGTTAACTATCTCCTCCACTACTGCGCGACCTTATCGAGAGCAGGGATTAAATGGATTTAGGACGAATCCCCGGAAGTCGCGGAAACGCGCGGGCTTGAATAGCGACGGTCATACGAAAAGCCGCGGTCAGTTTTACGGCGCCTGACAAAAATAAAGAAAAAACGCTGAAGTCGTGAGGTGAGTGTGTGTGTGTGTGTGTATCTCTGTGTGCGTGCGCGCGCATATGTCCTCCTCTCCCCTGTGCGCAATTACGAGGCCGCTCGAAATAATCGCGGAAACAGTTTTTTTTTTTCTTCGTTCTTCCTTCCTTTTCTTAATATCGCTGTGTTTAATTATTATTATGCGGCCACTTTAACGATTACGTCACACTACGGGAAGGAGTCTTTAGATTACGTGACTGTGATGACAAGGAGAGAGAAGGAGAGTAAAGGCCATGGGAGGTCACATTAGATGGCATAGCTTGTAAATATAAATGCGCGTGATTATCCATTTTGTTTGTATTCGTGACATATTTGGTTGAATTTAGTGAAGGTCTTTAAGCTTTCACATGATTCTGTGTTACATCAAAATGTTAATTTTTTTAACATTCGTCCTTTCAAAGGCACAACTTTTACTAATTGAAATTATAAAAATTATAAAGTAATTAATTTGACATTATATGCTTAAAAATTATTTTAGAAAAAGATAGTAGCGTACAGTCTAATAACCATTACTCACAATATGATTATAAGTTCTTTGTTTATTCTGTGTGTCAGGGGGGGGGGAGGATAATTCCATATACCACGTAATATTGTGAGGACGCAAATATTTTGTGACAAAGGGGAGGGAGGTAGAAAATTCCCAAATTTAGCGTGACGTAATTGTTGTGAACGGCCCCTTATTTAATTTTAATATCGCGTAGCATTCAATTGTCATGCGACTCGTTTCTTCCACCTCTCATTCTTCGGCTTATTTCGAGCGATGGACGCGATGAAACTTTAAAGAGACAATTCTATTCATGCCTCTCTGTGCATTTTCAGGAGATACGCGGGTAATAAAAGCGATATCGCGATCGAGCCGGCGGGGAAAAAAGCGAAACGGTATTATCGCTGAAAAATGCAACACCTGTCATTTTTTCGCATTTCGCATTACGCCCTCCTCTCTCTCGCGATTCCATCATTCGGCGGGCCAGACGTCGCTGCGCCAACGCGGGGGACGACACACGCATATATTTTTCGCAGCAAATCTCAATAAAATTGGTTTTTCGATACATCTTTATTCCGCCCTCCGATATTCTTTCCTTCGATATTCGCGCGTCGGGCGATTTCCGACGGCGCTCTCCCCCATGGCGGTTGATTTTGCGGACCGATAAATTCGCACGACGACGAGTCGTTCCGCTCGTTCGTTTTTATTGAAACAGAACGTTGATTTAATTGTATTACACATACGGGATGGTTCTTTCAGGCGGGGCTCTTTTTAATATCGATTCTCGACGGTGAACCAATAGAGAGGTACGTACTCGACGCGACGAGTTAAACCTGGCGATTGATTTTCTCTCTCCTTTCTTTTCTATCATATCGCAAATTATATATAGCCAATGTTTATCGTGTACTTATATTATTCCGTAAAGCGACGTCTGCAATGAGAATTTAAGACGTAAGACTCAAGCTTCGAGCCTTGACCAAACACAGTCATATGTGAGAAGAATAATCGATTGTGATTGCTCAGTTTCTTATGGCTCGAGGCTTAATTCTGACGCCTTAAATTCTCATAGGAGCCATTTAACATGTGCGATCGTGGGGAAATTACGGGATATTCTCTGCCATACTCGTTCGCACACGTACACGCAGACACACACGCAGAGCCACCGATAACGCGGTTTCTCCGGTCGCGCGCGCGATTTATTTCGCCAGTCTATCTTTACCTCTTTATGTTTTTGAGTGTTTCGTACCTGTTGTTGCCGGCAGTTGTTGCCGGAACAGCCATTCGCGGGGACTTGGAACACGTTCAATCGATGGCGGCACGTACGTACGATCGCGCGTTCCACGACGCGTTTCAATACATCTATTTTCGATGCCCGGAATATCGTCTACCTGCCGGGGCCGCGCGCACGTGTTGCACGCTCGCGGAAATATATGAAGAATTCGCGGCCCCATAAGAATCGAAATTTATACGCCGCGGAATACCGGCATTATATTCGGCCGCTCGCGTATCGCTCGCGACAATTGTATCGCGCGGAGCCGCCGGCGGGACTGAGTTATGGCGACTCGAGTTTAATAAAAGCGGATTTCGCCCGGTCGTGATTACCGGTCGAAGTGCGCCAATTACCGGTAATAGTGGCACGCGTGTTCCGAAAGCGAATTACGAAAATGTTGCCTCTGCGCCCGCTTCAGCCTAATAAAGCGCGATAAAAACGTTACGCCTGGAACGGTTTATCCGGAATTTAAATGGCGTTTTCCATACGGTGTTCCCCTCCTCCCTTCCCCGTTTGTATCGGCTGCACAAATAAATGTCGGGAATCAAGCCGTTCATCGCGATGGTTAAGTGGAGGTAACGGCTTGTGAGCTATTCGGGGATCTCGAGCGACGTCGAGAAAATTTCGCGCGAATGCATATTTAATATACTTCTATGAATTATTAGGAGCAAATGTATACCGTCTGTCGAGGAATTTTGCGCGCGCGCGAGTAAACATTTCAATGTTATCGAGAATATCGACAGATCTGTCTAATTGGAAGCGGGTGTGGTAAAGAAGTGTCTTCTCTCTCGCAAGATCACGCGAGAGCGTAAAGAGTTAAAATCGCGTGAAATTATTATCGGTTCGATCGTGCCTTCTCTCGTCGAATCGGATCAGTTTTGCATTGCGACAGTGCGATTTTGTATCACGAAGTGATCATTTCCTCTCAATTTATCCGATAATCGATCACTTCGGCGATTATCTCGATATCTTTCAGCAGCGAAAGGTTATCGAGGGGCCGGAGGTTCTCATCTCACCGGATTTCCCCCGACTGTTTCCGAAGGAAAGAGAGAGAGAGAGAGAGAGAGAGAGAAAGAGAAAAAGAGAGAGAGAGAGAGACAGGATTACGAAGCGTAATAAATGTAATGGAGACTCCAACGCGAACGGATGAGAAAGTAATTGGCGAAACACATTAGTTCAACCGGTCAGACGTAAATCAAGCGGGGGGAGGGTA